TGAAAACTCTGAAAGGGCTCCTACTTTAGATTCTAACAGGCCCGAGGCGTCACAAGTAAAAGCAGACCTCTCATCAGAGGAACATGATGAAGATATACATGATAGCTACGAGCCTCTAAATAACACAGCTGAACTGGTTGAGCCCGGAGATTGTCAGACACCTGACAGAAACTGTGAAACAATCAGTCCTACTTTTCCACCTGAGCACAGTCAGCCATTACAATCTGAGGTGCGTCTGAATGCTATGAAAAAGTATGACAAGGACCAAGCAGAAGCCATGGTGTTAGAGGGACGGGTGCAGATGCTCGTGGTGCCAGCTGAAGGTGTTTACCGCTGTGAGAAATGCTCTTATGTCACCTGCAGAGAGAGTGCTTTGAAGCACCACTGCCAAGCTCTGTGCCAGGGCAGGATGAAGGGCCACAAGTGTCAGGGCTGCGGTGCGCAGTTCAAGCAGAGGCGGGGCCTCGATGGCCACCTTAAAAAGAAGTGCCCAGCCATGCCACGGAAAACGAGGACATTTGTAGGCATTTCAGAAACAAGTGTTGCTCCAAAGGAGAGCTGTACTGTAGATCAGGAGGGATCCAATTCAGATCAGACAGAGCAAAATAAAATTTCCACTGATCCTGAGTGTTCATCTCATTCTAAGACCTTTGTTAATGATGATGCTGCTACATCCAGTGCATCCGAAAACCAGCAAACCGAAAGTCAGAAGAAACTGATCTCCAGTAACAAACAGCAAAAGTCCCTTTATAGTAAAAAGGGTGGGAAATTCAGATGCAAGCTGTGCAGCTTCTCATCCGTCAGGCTCATAACAATTAAACGGCACCTCTCGACCTGCAGAAGAAGATTCAGGAAAAGGGAGAATGAGACCAATTCAGAAGCAGGTGATGAAGGTGGGAATGACTCAATCAAAGAAAGAGAAGCTCTGGTGGAGAAACTCGACGAAGATCTTGTAAAAGTTTCTAAGAAACGTCAAATTTTTGGCTGTCCAAGCTGTGCATTTAAGTGCAGTCAGAAGAGAGCTTTAGACAGCCATGAAAGAAAAGGCTGCATGAGGCCTGGTGAAGTACAGTGCGCTCTCTGTTCATTTGTAGCCAAATCTAAAGTTTCTTTGACCCGACACAGTTTATGTAGTCATGGCAAGGAAAAGTTCGGTGCTGCCAAACCCAAACGTTTGCACTGCCAGCACTGCACTTTCAGCTGCAAACAGCAGCGCTGCATGACGCAGCACATTGCACTCAAACACAAAGGTGCACGACCTCACCGCTGCCGCTTCTGCCCCTTCAGCACCACGCGGCGCTACCGCTTGGAAGAGCACGAGTCTCTCCATACAGGTGTCGGCCGTCACCGCTGTGACGTGTGTGACAAAACCTTTGGGGCGGTGACCAAATTGCGCCAACACAAGAGACGCATTCACGACAAACTGCCCACGCACTTCTGCTCGTTGTGCGACTTCAGCGGCTACACGCTCGACGACGTGAGACGCCACAACCGCAGATGCCACACGGGGGAGCTGCAGCACGTTTGCACCCACTGTGACGCTCAGTTTAGCTCAGAGGTCGCTTTGAGAAACCACTGCAAGCGTGTGCACCAGCTCCAGGTGCGTTTCTCATGCAAGCAGTGTGACTACACCTGCAGCAGCGACATCACACTAAGGGCCCACCAGCAGAGCAAGCACCCCCAGGTGAAATGCAACACCTGCCAGGAGTCATTTGAAACTAAGGAAAGCCTCGAGCTTCATCAGAGAGCTCACCTGGCGCATCAGTGTCACGTGTGTCCCTTTGCTACCAAAACGAGGCAGCTGCTGGCTCAGCACCTCTTGAGCGAACATGAGGAGGGACCTGCGGAGGACAAGGCACTGAGGTGCAGCACCTGCCAGTTTGCTTGTCAACATCAGCTGGTCCTGGAGCAGCACCTCCGCTCGCACGGAACCAAGCGCTTGTACAAATGCACCGACTGCCAGTACTCGACCCGGAACAAGCAGAAGATCACGTGGCACATTCGCATCCACACTGGGGAGAAGCCTTACAGCTGTGAGGAGTGCAGCTACACCTGCACCGATCCATCGAGGCTGAAGGTACCAAACAAGCTTCCATAGATCCCAGACAGTTGGTTCTGTTCGTCTGTATCCACATCCACTGAAAAAACTTCTATCGACACGTTGCTTTTAGATAATGCAGTCTCATTTGTTCCAGCAGCTGTGTCTGAGAGAGGACCCAGATGCAGGATGCTAAATATGCAAAGCAACTTTATTACTAAAAAACAAGTCAAACAAGCAAAGCTGGCTGGAGAGTTTGTTGATACAACTTAAAGGGTTAACTTGGACTAAGACACAAGCTTGGAAAACAGGAGGGTGAACAAACCCACAAGTGGGCAAAAACGGAGGGGAGGAAGGAGCTGAATGTAGGCTGGGGATGGATTGGATTGAAGTAATAGCCAGTAATGATAGGCTAGGTGAGGACAGAAACCACAGTAAGACATCAGAGAAAAACAAAACAGGACTAACTAAAATATCAAATACAGAGACATTACACGGCACGTTAAACAGAGGCAGTGGAGCACAAAAGTAGCTTAAAGTTGAGACAGAGAAATGGCGAGGAAACTAAAAACACAAGAAGGAATAAAAAAAAAACAGGTTTTGAAGCTCAATAAAAACAAAAGAATTAAAAATGTAATTTATAAATAGTGGTGTGTACTTTCAAGCAGGATTTAGGCTCCAGGTGTCTTCACAGTTAAACTTGGCTTTTCCGTATTATGAAGATGTTCATTTCATGCCAGCGTGCATCAACGTGGCATCTTATGCTGCAGAAATAATGTGATCTGGAGCTGGTTATGTTTGAGATTGGAAATCAGCAGGTTTACTGACCAGTCAGTTCCCTGGAAGATGGCATCATTTGTAGCTAGAATCATAAATCCGGGTTAGTATAGTTTGAGTTAGTGAAATGATAAACGTTTCATGTAACTATTGAGCCTGATTTCTGATCTTAGGCTCACAGAAGCCAGATGAGTTAAATTTGCTTTATAGCACAGAACAGGACCAAGAGCAGTAAATGGGAACAAAACGCAGTTAAAAACTAAACGGGTATCTGTAAGACGACAACAAAATCGCTGAGACCAACATGTTAAAAGTTAAAAACAAAGAACGATGGCAGAAGCGTTTACAGTGTCTCTGGTTGTGTAGTTACTTATTGAGGCTCATTTTGAGTCTTTCCATGAAATGGAGCACAATGAAAGCAATAACAGGTCCCTTTTATTTTATTTTTAATGTTTTTATAGCTTCACATGAGAGTTCACCAAGAAGAGAAGAAGTACCTTTGTCCAGAGTGTGGCTACAAGTGCAAATGGGCGACTCAGCTGAAATACCACATGACCAAGCACACAGGTATCAGAGGTGGCTGTTTTCACCCCTAAAAATGCAGCTGAAGAGCTGCTGTTGGAAAATGAGACGTTACATTTATTTACCATACAGCTCAGGCAGATATGATGGTTATAAACTGAACACAAAACACAAACTGACAGTCCACATGCTTATCTGATGTATCCAAACTGCATACTGGACAGTCTAATTTAGGAGTGTCAATCATAAGGCCCGGGTGCCAAAATCAGTCCAGCCCACTGGAAAGCTTTAGAAATTCTCATATACACACAATCAGTTAAATAGCTCCTTCTAGTGGTCAGGGGTGAAAACAAACCAAATGTCTCCTGCAGAAAGACATAAAGTGAAAGTTTCTAATTTAATGTTGCAATATGTCTAAGTTATAAAGTGATTTGGTTACATTTTTAAGTAATGTTTGTCATCTGCAGGAGAGAAGCCGTACGCCTGTGATGAGTGCGACTACCGCACCAACAGAGCAGACGCCCTCCGCGCACACTGCGACACACAGCACTGTGATGTGCGCCCTTATGTTTGCGAGAAGTGCGGCAAAGCCTTCAAGACTAGCTTCATACTGAAGACCCACCAGCGCCAGCACAGCGACGACCGGCCATACACGTGCGGTTTGTGCCAAAAGGCTTTCAGGTGGCCTGCGGGTCTTAGACATCACTACCTGTCTCACACCAAGCAGCAACCTTTCAGCTGTCGCCACTGCTCCTACAGAGCCAAGCAGAAGTTCCAGGTGGTCAAACATCTGCAAAGGCATCATCCAAACATGCCAGCACAGGAAGGTGTGGTAAGAGACTCAGAAGCTGGAGGCCTCACCCTGAAGGAGGCTCTAGAGGGGACTCTGGATAAAAGAGCAGAAGAAGCAGCCAATGAGCTGCTTCCACCAGCCAGTGAGGTACAGGAGGTTGCTGAAGAGGTCGAGCTAGGATTAAACCCTGAAGAGAGAGAGTAACTGGTGACATAGCTGGTAAATACTGATGTTTGATTAGTTGATTTTAATGTCTTGCCAAGCCTAATAAGACACTTAGTACACATATTAAGAGAGAATGTAAAGACGGGTCATTTATTTGAACAATAAACAGTTTTTTATATCCTATCTTGTGATAATTTCCTATAATCAGAATATAATTGTATTAATGAGAAAATCACCATATGAGATGCCACAACTGTGCTGCCAGTAAAACTCTTAATAATGCAAAATACATTGTTTACAAAAATTCAACACTAAGAGAAATGGAAGTCCTGGAAAAAATAAAAGAAGAAGAAAACCAAGATTCCTTAAAAACAAACTCATGAAGCCAAGGCTGAAAACAGGGCTGCTAGGAACTCTTAGCTTAATAAGCAAAAAGCAACTGAGGAATAAAGCTGCTGATGAAGGAGAGAGAGAGTGCTTTTTGCGGTTTGCTTTGGATGAGAAGGATGGATGAGAGACCATAGAGCAGCTTAATGAAAATGATAGAAAAATATGAAAAATGTGCTGGCACAGACGTACAGGGTGATTGCAAAAAAAAAAAAATGCAATAAATGCATTTCTTTTAAACGGGACAGGCTGATGTTGGCCTTTTTTCTTTTTCTAACAGCTCTTTTTGTTTTTTTTTTAAACACGTTTTTCATTTGTACCATTAGCTCTGAAATATTTTGCATGCATAGATAATTTTTTTTAAATTCTGTTTCGACATGTTGACTTATTACAATTTTCTGTTAAATGCTGGGTTTCTTATACTTAGCTCCTGAATTTGAATCCACTTCAGGTTCCTATGTCAGTTCTTTCCGGGTACTCGGGAGTTGAAGGACATGTATGTTGGGAAAACAGCTGACTCTGAATAGGTCATGTGTGAATGGTTGTCTGTCTCCATGTGACAGACTGCCAACCTGTCCGGGGTGTTCCTCACCTCTCGCCCTGTCCCAGCTGGGATGGATGAACAACTGTTTGCAAGTGTTTGCGTTCTGTTTAATTTACATTTTAAGACGCTCCCCAAATTTCTAGAAACAAGGTTGGGAAAAAAATGAACAAGCCACAAATGTTTCTGAACAACTGAATTTCACGCACAGGTTTTTAACCACTCAGAAAATTACATACAAAGACATATTTACATTATACACAACATGGCCTTGTAGAACATTCATTCATTCATTAGAAATAAGTCATTCATGCAAAGTTGTGAGTATATTTCTGGATTTTTAATACTGAGATTTGTCTTTTTTCCCCCACATCTAACCTTTCAGTACTGTTACAGATATTTTGACATTCTCTACATGCTGCAGTCTTTTGTCTTACTTTCACATCTATCATTTAAAATATTTTTTACAATTTCTGGAATGTAAAGTTGCATATATTGGACTTAAAACCCTAAATAAATAGTACTGCATGGCCTAGTTTATCTTATTCCGTGGTTAAAAATTATAGATTGGTTTAAAAGAGATGCACTCCACTTTGTCACTGTTGAAAACTCAAATTCAATAATGCTGATTTCTGAGATGATCTGTTCCCTGTGGTTCATTTTGACAGTCTTATGTAGCGTTGGCAGATCGAAGTACTGCTCCATGTCGTCCTTGTGACCACATCTGGTTTCTCGTTGTTCTTCATGTGAGCTCAGAAATGCTGATGTTAACAAAGAGCGATGAGGGCGGGATAGCTGTTCCATCCTTAGACAGCAGATGTATGTGACGATATCCTGGAAAAAAGAAGAATTTCAAAACAAGTCTCAAGGCACTTTTTAATGCTAGAAAAAGAGCTTCCGAATATTAGAGACAAAAAGCCCAACAGTGTCCATTACACGGCGTGGGGGCCAGAATCTGCTTACCAAGAATCCAGTGCATTGAGTGGTTTCGGAAAATATGAAATGCAAAGAAGGAGGGCTTAAACTTTGGACTATTTTTTACAGTTTTACAGGCTTATTGTTGATGATGACATCACCCATGGCCTGGGACACCCCAAAAGGTTTGAAATATCATGAGGAGAGCAAGGCTAGCTAGTTTGTGTGATGCAGTCTTCTTGTACTAAGAGGTAAGACTGGAGCTCTCCATGCTCTGCTCACCTGGTTGGATGCACATGAAGGGCAGAGTGTACTGTCCAATGAAGTCGTTCCTTGATGCTTTGTCATGGTCTTCCACCACAAAGCAAACCAGCGCCAGCTCAGGGGTGTGGATGGTGAAATCTAGAGTTTCATTCCACACGGGGTTAAACCCTGCAGGAGGAGGGCAGCAGAGGAGTGAATATAACCAACTGGGATCAACTTTATACCCAAAATTTGTCCATTGAGTGGTCTAAGTGTTGAATACTCAGTCACCATTGTTGTTAATGTGGCTGGTCTCATCCTTTGCCTGGTCCTGTGGTACTCCGTAGATCTCCACTCGCACCAGCGGGTCAACAATAGAGCCTTCTTTCTGGTTCACCTTTGGCAGTTGTTGCCCGCTGATCACCTGATAAAGATGCAAACCATTTTAGCGTACTTTACCTCTCACACCACATCTCAGATTTCCACACTGGAGGTAAAATAAACAGATTTTCATAGAGCTCTGTACCTGTATGGATAGGCGGAGTGGTTTGTATCCTTCCCGCTCCTCAGGTTTATCTGGACTGAACTGAGTGTTCCCATCTCTCATGAAATCGGGCTTTATGACGTAGCCACAGCAGCCATTCTGCCTGAACAACCCATCATTTAGATCCATTTCCAGACCGGCTGTCTGGAAATTCAAAGCCACTTTGGGAAAGAGGCAGACAATAATTTGATTAACTTTTTTTTTTTTTTTTTACTGAATGGCAATCTAGGATAATTTCCCAGAGTCTGTAGAGCTGTCAGAGTTAATGTGAAAAGGGCTACAGGAGACGAGCTTTCATCCTAAGCAGATACCATCAGTGTGAGCACTTGTTACAGGAACCATCTGTCCTGTCAAGCCTCTTTAGCCACCTTGATGATGTTAGATACCCAGCTCTTAGCTCTAACCCATCTAAAAATAAACATGGTGTGGCACTGAGGATGTCCACAAGGATAATTACTTCCTAATATAATATTACACAATAATAAATGCATGAGCTGTAAAAGCAGTGTGTGTGCAAACAATGAAGTGGAAAGAAAAGAGTCTAATTGAACTGCCATAAAAGCGTGTCGGTCTCTGTGTGTTGGGCCTCTCCATAGCCTCGAGTGTCACATGCTGCAAGATACTCCAGTCCTTCCCTTTGTTACTTCCTTTAGCAGAAGATACAGTGGAATTTGTGAACAAATTCACAAGAACAACTCATGCTGTATATCCTCCTGAGAACCAGCCTATTCATTTATGTCCTATGTAATTTACATTTGTTTTTGGTCTATATCGTTGGACTTATTTGAGCTAGCCTACTCAATCCTGATGTGCTCAATAGAGGATGACCTTTCCAATGATGTGTCATGTGATTGGGTGGCTTCCTTTAGCTCTAAAGAGGCAGGAAATCGCAAAAAAGTTAAACTGAAAGGTACTCTCTCTTCGGTTCTCAACAACTTAAATACCAGAACATCGGTAATGTGCGAGCTCATCCGATTCACCATTCATCACAATTCACACATTACTGCCGGTAGAACGACAAATGTGATGCTGACCTTGAGTATAGTTTAGTTGAAGACCCATTAGTGATCAGTGTGTGTATCCAAGTTTGATTAAATTCTGACCAGTACTATAGGACGGATGCATGACAGACACCTCGTCTCAAACTCAATAATACATCAAGACCTTAAACACATTATTTCCTGCATGATAAAAGAAAACCCTGAAACTGTGACGAGGAAGCCAAAGTTTTTCATCTGGCAGAAATTTGAAATATATATAACTAGTACTCATTTACCAAATCCACCTGCAGATACGAATAACATAACCTGAATATTTGACAGAATGGTCAAGCATTACAGAAATGACTTCCTACCAATTACTTTTAGTACGTGTGCTGACACCAGTGCAAAAACCTTCCTCTTGTTTGGACTTCTAAACTATCAGTAATGCAATTTTCTGGATGCACTAAACCAAAAAACATCACACATATGGTGACTAGCAAATATTATACTCGCCTACAGGAAGAAAAGCCCAGATAATGCTGCTGCTTTTTTGTAACAGCATTTCTGATCAATATCATTCAGGCGTTCTTACACTGTGTAAAATAAGGAGGTCGTACTTAACCCTAATGGATACACCGGTTTTGCACTGGCGGTGAGTTCAGATTTTACACCAGCAGAGGGCGAGCTTGTCCTCACCTATCTGACAGCCCACGCTCCACATGTCCTGGGGGTTGTAATTGGATGAGTCTGTCCTGAGGCCGCCGGGGTAAGTCCTGCTCAGCTGCCGTGTGTTGTACTGCACAAAGTCCGTCCCTGAGAAAATGTTTGAAGAGAACAAATGCAATAGATTTCTACAGCATAGATAACTCTACCTACTTCTCCACCTTTAAGTCAGATACAGTTTCAAATATTGTAATACACTTGTATGACACGTCACAATCGTTTAACAGCTCATTTATTATCTGAGGAATATACTACTCCTTCGTCTACCTGCTTCCTTAGCAAGCTTCTTGGCCTTGGATTCAGAGAAAGAGGAGATCTCGTAGCATTTGGCGTGTGAACGGGCGTGCTCAAAGCCGTCGAAGTGCACGCTCTTGCAGTAAACCACCAGGTCTGACAGCTCCCTGGACATTTTGGATTTTGCTTTAGACTTCTGCAGCATAAAAATATATAATCAGTCAACAAAGCTCAAAACATCACTTTAAACATTCAAACATGCCAGGTAATTAAAGGTGACGCCCTAACCGCCCTTATCAGTCAGTCTAGTGCATATGAATCAGTACAGTAAGTATATTAATTATTTATTTAACATCCATTTGTGTTTGCCAGAAAAAAGTGGTCGCCTAAAAACTGAAGAATTTTCAATTTTATTTAAAATAAATATACATTTTTATTTAAGACATGGCATTTGTGACTCTATGTGGTAGGTCCAGTGTTTATTGCATTTACACCCAGACTTTTCATAAAGTCTTTTCAATTTCACGAGGGTATTGGACAAATTACTGGCTAACTACTATTTATTTACAGCCCTATTTTGACATTATTTTAGTTGTATATGTAGTATATGTAGAGTCTAGGTTTAGCTACGTTTCATTTCTTTACCAGCTTTTCATCTATATGACCAGGAGGATACAGAATAATAAACTGCTTTTTCTTATTATCTAACATGTTTATGCGGATGCTCGTGTTAAACATGGACACTGTTTCAGTGTGTGTAAGTAAACTCTGTGACTTGGTTTCACATAGTTTTTTCTATTCTTAGCCTTTTGTGATGTCAGAGAGAGAGGCAAGATATTTCTAAAATGATCATCTCAGGAAGGGCAGCCAATCAGAATAAAGGCTCTAGCCTCCTTGTGGCTTCAAGGGAAAGGAACAAAAACAATATGCTTGTGACAGTTGATGGACTGTAGAGTCTAAAATAGGAACAAAGAGCTAGAAGTTTTATTCGATTTATATAGCACCACATCAGAACAACAGTTGCCTCAAGATGCTTTATGTATAAAGACCCTACAATAACAGAGAGAAAACCTCAACAATCAGGCGATTCCCTATGAGCAAGCACTTGGTTACAGTCAGAAAGAAAAACTCCCTCTTAAAACTATGAGCAGAATATATCAGCTTTGAAAAATGTGATTAACATGATTAGGATTTCTTACATTTTGGTCTCTTTCTCATTGACTCTTATGGATTAATGGATTTATTTAAGCCACAAACAATTCCAGTTATTCTCTCACTGCCACCATGGTTGACCCATTAGTAAACTTTAAGTGTAAGAATTAGCACATCTTAAGCACTACTTTGAAGATAATATAGTTCCTTCACTTCAAAGTGCAGGCTGAGAAGACTGGAAGTTGTGTCTCACTTAAGTGCATCTCGTATTGGCCTGAAATATCTCTTTCCTGTTTCTCTTTCACTATCTCCCATCATCTCTTGTCTCGCCTCTGTGTCTCTTGAATCCCAGCCAAGTTTCCTGCCTTCCTTTACTATCAAGCACCATCCAATCCTGCCTCGTCTTACTATCTATATGGTTCCCTTTTTCTGCTCTCTATCTGTTTTTAATTCCCACTTTGATATGAACTATGGAAACAGAGAGAGAAAGTAGTTACTGCATCCATCTACCTTGTCAGGTGAATCTTCTGTCGAAGCCATCTCAGCATCGCAGTTGGCCATCTCTTCCTCATCACTCACTTCATCTGTACAGGTTTCATCGACATATTCTTCTAGGCCACCAATCTTCTTGGCTTTTAGCAAAATCTTGCCCTTCAGTTCCTGTAATGAAGACATATGGGAGCATGTCCACTTATCCACTTCACCTTCTGTCTTTTTCTTTAAATTTAAGTGTTTAAATGATTATCTTATTTTAACATAGTTACACAGCCATATCCATAGATGCCACTTGGATCTGCCGTTAGAATGTGGGTACAATAAAAAGGACAAAGTGACCGAAGACTAAATTTCAGTTTTTTTCATACACACACTTCTAATAAAGGTGTTCCATATTCTTGTACTTTATTGTAAATGCATCAATGTGCCCCCTTTTAAGTGGCTAAAACCTCAGTGGGATTTTTCACAGCCATTACTTTAAGTTAGCATTGATTGTCCTGAGTGCTTTAATGGAGAAGAGTTATACAAGTACTTTCAGTCTGTGTGTGGGATGGATAATAAGACACAGGCTGACCATTAATCTTTAAAAAGTTACTGAATTTTTAATAGTCATCAGGTTTTTCCTCCGGTTAAATCATCAGGGTGTTGTCCAAAAATATTTCATTCCTCTTGGCTAAGTGTAGCATTACTGCTAAACGAGTTAAGGTTTAAATAAAAAATAAAAAATAAAAAAAAATCACCAAAACTGAAAAATTTCCTTTAAAAATGCAAAATGCTAGCTTAATATAAAAGTCACAGCTGAAAGAAAGAAAAGAAGCAATGCTTGTGGTTTTAAACCTGTGATTTCAGCTATGGAGTGATTCTCATATAGCACTTTTCTACTCTCCCGGAGTACTCGAAGCACTGTATACAACATGCCTCATTCACCCAATCCCTTCAAAATTCAAGTGCAATCTGAAATGATGGCAATATTTATGTTCCTATTTTAGTTAGAAGATCCAAATGCCATGTTGCAATACTATACTGTTATGGTAGCCAACTTTTCAAATGCAGGTTTGACAGGTTTGTGAGTGTACACTTCTTCCAAAACCTAGTGAGAGTTTACTCATGTTTACCACTGGGTGGCTGAAGCTCAGGAGGTAGAGCAGGTCACCTACTGATTGGAAGTTTGGTGGTTCGATCTCTGGCTCCTCCAGTCTGCATGTCTGTGTATGAATGTAGTTAGGAAGCACTCAGTTTAGAGAAAGTGTGTGATTGGGTGAATGTGGCATGTTGTATAGAGCACTTTGAGTGACCCGGGAGAGAAGAAAAGTGCTATAAAAGAGTCAGTCCATTCACTGTCAAAACAGAGTTTCATCATGTTACTTTTGCACTATTATGTTCTGGCACATGTTGTTATTACATGGCTTGATTAAGGTACACATTAGGCTGATATCTGGGGCCAGAGGTGAAACTGTTCTGGGCCAGCACACCAGTGTGTCTGCAACTGGCCTTGTGCTGGTCCGTGTGTGGGCCACCTCTGGCAACCCAGATCTGGGCCGTCATTCTTTGCGGTATGCGGGCCATATGTAAGCACATTGTGTGGGCAGATCCAGGCCATACCAATTTTGCTATGTGGGTACTTGTACTACAATCAGCTGATTTTAGTTCATGTGCCAGAGGAGGAAAATGCTAGAGCAGTCCACAGCATAGACATGGACATTTATTTTTGTTCCACAAAATGATCACAATCTCTTTAATATGCTGCTTAGTGAATAGCGATGATGACTCTCAAAGAAGAGCCAATGAGAATCAAAAAGTGATTTCGATATAATGTAATGATAATGGAATTGGAATCACTAAATTCTTATGAATTTCCATCCCTAGTAGTACTGTTGCTCCGAGAGTATTTGGACTATTGACAGCTTTTATAAAGGCTGCCATGCCAGTACTTTCCACATTACTTCACAGCCTACTCTCCTCAGAAAAACAGATTATTCAACCACAGCCTGAATGTTAAAAGAGCACTGGCTGGGAGGTGGAAATGATGATAGCAGAACAGACAATCGAGAAAGGAGCGGAAATGACAAAGCAAGAACAAGACAGAAATATCTTTCAACATGGAACAAGAAGTAACCAAAAGACATAGATCAGGGAATGTAGATGGTGAAGGGAAACAGCAAAATGAGCATAACAAAAGAAACAAATATTACAATGACCATGACAGGATCCTTAAAATGTTTGAGTTCTTTATACTGAGTACTATTTCTGAGTAATTTCCAGGATGGAAATGTATGGGTTTTTTTAGAGGTTTATGGGGGGGTTGATCCACCTTTTTTCAGACAGAAGAACTGAGAGCTGAGGGCACTGAGGCCCAGTGTAAGACACATATGCATTATTTTTTAACTGTGAATCATGCAAAACTACTCTGATAGACTGCAAAGATAAAAACATGAAGCAGGACCAGAATTATTGTAAATACTTGTGACCATGTGATCTGGGAAGCAGAGAAGTATTTGACATTTTATAAATGCAAGATTACCAGTTCAGTTCCAGGTCCAGGATTTTGGAGCCTCGAGCTTTGAATTCGATATCTATTGCTTCTGAAACAAATCCTGCATTCCTGGACTTGTTCATTCTGTCAATCTGGCCTCAAATGTTTATCTTTCCTTTCTCAGAGGTCACTATGTTAGAGTTTAACTATCCTCTTACGTGTCTGGTAAATGACTGAACCCTTGAGTTTAATATGACTATTAAATGATAAACATTCTCATGGTTTAACTGACAGATTCTGACCTGTGGAGATGGGAGCTGCTGAGGGACCTGTCCATCCAGCAGGGTGGTCTGCAGCATGTCCCCCAGGATCTGTCTCAGGTACTGGGCCATGACCGTCTGCTGTTCCACACTGCAGTGATTCTCAATCGACAGGATGACAGGGAACTCGGACGCCTACCAAACATATAAGATGCAATATAGTTACAACGAACAAGAGACTGTTTTGCCAAGTGGCAAATGTCTTTGCACTGTTGAGCATAAGTTTCCACATTCCTCCAAAACAGATTCCTCATCACATCTTCCTATGAAGCTCTGTAGGAAAGTTTGAGCAGGATCAAGCACAGACACATTAGAAATTCCTGGTTGTTTTCCATGTGGGTCACTCAGTAGGAGAACATTGGATTCCAGCGGCAGGGAAAGTTACTAACTGAATGTGAGCTTTACACTGTTCTGGGCACACAAACACAGTCCTGTAAATTATATCTGCAGAAATAAACACATTGTTTCTATTACTGCCAGCAGAGACTGTTTTGAATTTATCTAATTGTTTTTGTGTTGGACTGAGGTTCGCACAGCCCAGTCAAATACATTAGGGGTTAGTGGAATTTAATTAGTGTTCATTAATGGCTTCATTAGAAGGAAAGACTCCCAAATGTGCTGGACAATAAGAAGAGTAACCTGATCTCTTAGTTTCACTGGAAATTGTGCAAAGAGGGGCTTGTGTACAGCATAGTAACAGTAAGTGGGAAATTGCTTATTGATCAGTGGGCTGCAAAGCTAAAAAAACCAGTAGAGATAAAAAAAAACAAAAAAACAGGTACAGTTAGGTGAAGCAGTGCTTCATAAGCTGCTCACCCTGAAGGCGTATTCTTTAAGCGTTGAAATGACGTCCTTAAAGAGGATTTTTGAAGTCAAAGTGTGACCATGATACACAACAGGATCCCCATCATAGCCGTCCCAGCAGTCCACTTCTACACAACGACAGCCTCTCTTCAGAGCCCTGCACACACACACACACACACAGTTCTTTTAACTCTTAACCTGTCATCACCACACAGCCAACAGGGCTGCAATGAGTCAGGTTCAACACGTTCCCACATTAAAAGGTTACAATAAACAAAAATAAAAAAGGTTCACAGCCTAATACAGAAAAACTGTTTTGGTCTATTTAGCTAATTTACCACTTTGTGACAAGTGTATGAAGTTGTGTGTGTCTGGGTTGCCCTCACTGAATGTAGGCCTCCAAACTGCTCTGTCCCCGTAGCTGGTCCTCCAGTAAGTAGGTGTTGTGTGAAGAGGAGATGAAGTAGTGGCTGAGCGGCTGACTCATGTCCTGGTAAAGGTCCTGATGCTCGGGTTTGAATATGGAGCCCTCCTGGGAGCACAGGTACATCTGGAAGCCATCTAAGGACATGGCGCCTTGCTTCTTGGCTGCACAGAGATAAAGACAGGGAAACTTTTCTTCAGAATCAAGCAAGAATAAATCTTGTTTGAAGCATCTTTGTGGTTTGCACTCAGCGTGACGTTAAACCCATCTGCAAACAGCAGAGTGTCGACATTAGCTTCCTTTTTATATCAATTTTTTTATGATTTTATATTATTTTCTTCTTTTTAAAAATTCTTTTCTTATCTTAGTATCCCATCGACCCCGACTGCTACCCCTTCACAAGCCTGGTTCTGCTGGAGGTTTCTTCAAGTTAAATGGGGGTTTTTCCTTCCCACCGTCACCAAGTGCTTGCTCATGGGAGGTTGTTTGATTGTTGGAGTTTTCTCTGTATTACTGTGAGTCTTTATCTTACAATATAAAGCACCTTAATAATAATAATAATAATAATAATAATAATAATGCAGTAACCTATATCTCCTTGAACTGGGTCAATACCACATTAGCTTTCTCTGGTTTTATTTACAATAAATACACTAAAACAGCTTGTGTGTGTTCCTGTTACTACAGAAAACAGGTGTGGCTGTATTTCATAGCATTTGTGCAACAGTCCTGCGCTTCCTCGGGTGCAGGTCTCTAGATGAGGGTGCAGTGTGTTACCTTGTTACCTGTCTCAGACGGCTCGTAGCGTTCGATGAGCTCCTGGGCGTGCTGAGCGCTCTGCTCTCCCTCGTGCTGCTCCACACTCAGGAAGCTCTGCAGCTCCTCCAACATCAGCTTCTCTCCATCTTCAGAGTAGTCCTGGAACACCTTCCACACTTCATCCCTCTGCGTCAGCATCTTATAGAAAAAGACAAACTGCTCGATTTCCAAAGAGCCGCTCTCTGACTTATCAGCCATCTGAGGAGAAAAAAGAAAAAGTCTCTTACTTGTTGTATATTTAGAGTTTATTTTCTTCTAATAGTCATATTTTTTGTATAATGTTTTGTAATTTTGTAAGTTTAGCAAACTGAGCTGAGCTGTACCTATGATTAGGGGTGCAACGATACACAAAATTCACGGTTCGGTTCGATACTTTGGTGTCACGATTCGATATTTTTTCGATACAAAAAAAAGTTCATGCCTTTTTAACTTGTCATTTATTAAAATTATAAATATATATTTTAACTCAAAAGTACAGTTTTTAAATTTAATGTTGCTGAAACAAAAGTAATTAAAAAAATAAATATATCTCAGGGCTCTCAAAATTTCAAAATCCCTGGTAGCCCTTCGGGCAGGGACTCTTCAGTTTTTGGTCGCCCAAAATAAATGTAAGTAGCCCGAATAAAAAAGAGAGCAATTTTTTGATTGATGTTTTGTTTCCTGTTTTGTTTCCTTTACAATATTATACATTAAAGTATAAAATTGTAAAGGAAACAAAACATTTAAAGCTGACAAAAACAAAGACGGGAAGATGAACTTCAAAGAAGTGAAGAAGCTGCTGAAGATGATGAATGTAGAGATGAATGAGGACCATGCTCTTCATCTCTTCACGGTAAGAGAAAGGAATCAGCGATTAGCCCCGAGCTCTGACTTCAGCTCCCTTAAAAGTCTCGTGAAGGACTCAGAGCTTTTCTCCAGCATTTTTAGACCTGAGATGTTGATGGTGAATTTATTATTAGCTGCTGCAGTGTTTGGGTCAAGGAAGGGATTAGAAATTAATATATAGGGGTGCAACGATACTCGTATCGATATTGAACCGTTCGATACAGTGCTTTCGGTTCGGTACGCATATGTATCGAACAATACAAAATTTGTAATTTATTTTATCAACTTTCCTTCTGACGATGCTGTCTGTGTTGAGCGCTCAGTGAATCTGCGTTCGACTACTCCGCCTAGGCTGCACTGTCGAGCGCAGATCCACTGAGCGTTCAACACAGACAGCATCGTCAGAAGGAAGAGCGCAGGGCAAGCTAGCGAGACAGAAGTTAAGCTCTCCTTGCAACATGGCAAATTGAACCTCCCCCACCCTCATTCAGATCTGGCGTTTGGAATTATTTTGGTTTTCATGTGACATATGACCCTGAAGGTAAGCGCGTCATGGACTAAAGTAAAACAGTATGTTGGATGTGCCACGCAATGCTCAATTACATGGGTGGGAACTAGTGTGTTAGCGCAGTTAGCTCGTTAACGTGTTGGCCGTCTAGCCCCATGCAGGGGTAGCTCGTTAACGGAGATTTGCCGTGTTGTGGCGTTAACGTCATTTCAACGAGATTAACGCTGACAGCACTAGTGGGAACACAACGAATATGACTGCACATTTACGCCGACATCATCCTAGTGCAAAGACAAGTGGAAGCAGACAAAAACAACAAGCATGCATGCTACAAACTTTACCCGAGTCATTTAGACAGCCGTTAGCACATGATTCTCCTTATGGGGACCTGATATGTTTAATATTGTGGCGAGCTCAGACAAGGAGGAGACGGAGGTGTCGTTTGGTCTTGCTTCCCGTGAGCTAGCCAGGGAGCACAGCCGTTTATTGACATCTGCAGAAGAACACTGCCGCTAGCTAACTGCTCAGCGCGGCAACCGCACAGCAACAACAACACACAGGGCGCCCTCTGACCCCGGAAGGACACACCGTCGCAGCGAGAGGGCGTCACCCGTCACTATGGCAACATAAACAAAACATAACTGTACAAACAGAACCCCGAACAGCCCTGACCCGCTACATAGCCCCCACCTAAGGGGTCAGTCGTCCCCGACGACCCCATTACCCCACACAAAGTCCTGCAAATGTCCAGGTGCCTTCTTTTGGCGCACCGGCCGGTCACGACCGGCGGGGGAAAAGTCACTCGGGTCAGAACATGGGGTGCCACCATCATCCCACTTCCGACACCAATGTGGCGAGCTCGGACAACGAGAAGACAGAGGTGTCGTTTGGTCTTGCTTCCCGTGAGCTAGCCAGGGAGCACAGCCGTTTATTGACATCTGCAGAAGAACACTGCCGCTAGCTAACTGCTCAGCGCGGCAACCGCACAGCAACAACAACAACAACACACAGGGCGCCCTCTGACCCCGGAAGGACACACCGTCGCAGCGAGAGGGCGTCACCCGTCACTATGGCAACATAAACAAAACATAACTGTACAAACAGAACCCCGAACAGCCCTGACCCGCTACAATATGCTGCTGAGAATATAGCCCAGAAGAAGCGTATAGTATAGCTTTTATTTTGGAAAGAGCCATTTCTCTGTAATAAACTCTCTTTTCCAAAGATGAGTGATTCCTCAATCAGATACAGGGCTTGCAAAATCGCTAGCCCTAGCGATTTTTCCAGTCGGGCTACCAAAATCTATTGTAGGAAGGAAAAATATATGTCAATGCTTTTGCATTCTTTCGGAAATGTAGCTGGGTAATTATGTCATTGGCATCGGTGAGCCACTGTCAATATGTGACATATTGAAATCGCGTTTGAATTTGCGCTTGTTTTTTGCTTTCACTTTGCAAATGTCCAGGTGCCTTCTTTTGGCGCACCGGCCGGTCACGACCGGCGGGGGAAAAGTCACTCGGGTCAGAACATGGGGTGCCACCATCATCCCACTTCTGACACCAATGTGGCGAGCTCAGACAACGAGGAGACGGAGGTGTCGTTTGGTCTTGCTTCCCGTGAGCTAGCCAGGGAGCACAGCCGTTTATTGACATCTGCAGAAGAACACTGCCGCTAGCTAACTGCTCAGCGCGGCAACCGCACAGCAACAACAACACACAGAGCGCCCTCTGACCCCGGAAGGACACACCGTCGCAGCGAGAGGGCGTCACCCGTCACTATGGCAACATAAACAAAACATAACTGTACAAACAGAACCCCGAACAGCCCTGACCCGCTACATAGCCCCCACCTAAGGGGTCAGTCGTCCCCGACGACCCCATTACCCCACACAAAGTCCTGCAAATGTCCAGGTGCCTTCTTTTGGCGCACCGGCCGGTCACGACCGGCGGGGGAAAAGTCACTCGGGTCAGAACATGGGGTGCCACCATCATCCCACTTCTGACACCAATGTGGCGAGCTCAGACAACGAGGAGACGGAGGTGTCGTTTGGTCTTGCTTCCCGTGAGCTAGCCAGGGAGCACAGCCGTTTATTGACATCTGCAGAAGAACACTGCCGCTAGCTAACTGCGCACAGCAACAACAACAACAACACACAGGGCGCCCTCTGACCCCGGAAGGACACACCGTCGCAGCGAGAGGGCGTCACCCGTCACTATGGCAACATAAACAAAACATAACTGTACAAACAGAACCCCGAACAGCCCTGACCCGCTACAATATGCTGCTGAGAATATAGCCCAGAAGAAGCGTATAGTATAGCTTTTATTTTGGAAAGAGCCATTTCTCTGTAATAAACTCTCTTTTCCAAAGATGAGTGATTCCTCAATCAGATACAGGTGTTACCGCGCCAGATCCGCGGCCCCGAACCGTAGTAAGGAAACCTCTGGCAGTTACTTGAAGGTTCCGTAACTGACTCGTAGCCGGCAACAGCTTACTATACAGGTCAACTCCGCTAGCAAAAAGATCGAAGGAGGCGTAGGAAACTGCTTCACCGAACTTTATTTCTTCTCTAAGGCACGAACACCGCGTACAGTGGGCTGAAACAGTTTACTCACAGCGAGCATCGCCGACACAACTCTGGCTGTCGAGGGAGTTATTATATTCCTTTTATTTATTTTCTTTTCGTCTCTTCTGTAGCTAACCGTTACTTTTTCCCCTTCTCCGCTCTCTCTCTTCACACACACACCAGGCAGTCCCGCTACACACATCCCGAATACATTTCCCATCAGGCTTCATCCTTAAAGGGCCATGCCTGTAACACAGGGCTTGCAAAATCGCTAGCCCGACGTCCCGGGGCTAGCGATTTTTCCAGTCGGGCTACCAAAATCTATCTCTGCCCTGCCCGTCGGGCTATTGTAGGAAGGAAAAATATATGTCAATGCTTTTGCATTCTTTCGGAAATGTAGCTGGGTAATTATGTCATTGGCATCGGTGAGCCACTGTCAATATGTGACATATTGAAATCGCGTTTGAATTTGCGCTTGTTTTTTGCTTTCACTTTGCAAATGTCCAGGTGCCTTCTTTTGGCGCACCGGCCGGTCACGACCGGCGGGGGAAAAGTCACTCGGGTCAGAACATGGGGTGCCACCATCATCCCACTTCCTGACACCAATGTGGCGAGCTCGGACAACGAGAGAGACAGGAGTGTCGTTTGGTCTTGCTTCCCGTGAGCTAGCCAGGGAGCACAGCCGTTTATTGACATCTGCAGAAGAACACTGCCGCTAGCTAACTGCTCAGCGCGGCAACCGCACAGCAACAACAACACACAGAGCGCCCTCTGACCCCGGAAGGACACACCGTCGCAGCGAGAGGGCGTCACCCGTCACTATGGCAACATAAACAAAACATAACTGTACAAACAGAACCCCGAACAGCCCTGACCCGCTACAATATGCTGCTGAGAATATAGCCCAGAAGAAGCGTATAGTATAGCTTTTATTTTGGAAAGAGCCATTTCTCTGTAATAAACTCTCTTTTCCAAAGATGAGTGATTCCTCAATCAGATACAGGGCTCTGCAAATCGCTACCGCGCCGGGGTAGCGATTTTTCCAGTCGGGCTACCAAAATCTAGTGTCGCATCTAGGAAGGAAAAATATATGTCAATGCTTTTGCATTCTTTCGGAAATGTAGCTGGGTAATTATGTCATTGGCATCGGTGAGCCACTGTCAATATGTGACATATTGAAATCGCGTTTGAATTTGCGCTTGTTTTTTGCTTTCACTTTGCAATCACGTGAACTGTGTATAGAGAGCGACAGCACTGATTGGTGAGTGATGATAATTTGCGCACCAATTCCTCTGACAT